CAAAAATTCTCATCCTGTCACAATACAAAACTCCCATGTTCAGGATTTCTGGGTTATGCACAATAGTGTTTAAATAAGAGGTGATAAATGGTAGTCTTTTTATGAAGTCCAGATGTGGCCACTTGATCTTTGTGACCTAAAGAGACAAATTTCTGTATGTCACACAACTTGATTTGGCAGAGGGTACAGGGTACAGAATGATAAGAATATACACTCCCATGGTGAAAGATGGCAAGTGGAAGAGACCACAGGTCCATTTTCATACTGAATACAACACTCCCTGCAGGGTGAGAAATGAGCCTTGTTTCGGTCTTGGTTCTCCTTTCTGGGAGTAGCTTTCACTAATTGTTGTTTGTTATTGTCCATTATTCTCCATAGGCCCTGGCTCCCTCTTTGAGCTCTAATCTTACATCTTAATGTTGATCCAGTGAGATTTGGCGGTTGTGATAATTAAACTGTTGACCCTGACTCCACTCAAACAATTCTAATTTTCCTTTTGCATTATCCTCACCCCCATCCAAAAAGGGCTTTGGAGATTATGTCCTCCTTGTGTGGCTTTCTTAGCTCACTTTCTGTGTGGTCTGGGGCTCCAAGAGCTGTTTTAAATCTTGAAGAGTCACAGTCTCTTAGCTGAGTTGGAAGAGCATATGACTTTTGATCTTGGGGTCATGAGTTTGAGCCCTGTGTTGGGTACAGAGATTACTAAAAAAAAAAAAAAAAAAAAAAAAAAAAAAACTTCAAAGAATTCTTATTTGATAACTTTCCCTGCGTGGCTTCTGTCTCCTCATTGGACCACGACTGATACATATATTAAGTGAAAAAAATAAGCAAGATGCAAAACATTATGTAGTAATATGCTACTGTGTTTAAGATAAAATAATATATAATAACATATGTATACGTGTTTAAGATAAAAGAAGAATATATAATAATAACATATATTTATATGTATGTGTGTGTGTGTGTGTGTGTGTGTGTGTGTGTGTAAGAACCTGGAATAAATCATAAATGAGTGAAGTGGCAATGGAATGGAGGAAATATAGTTTGACTTTTGAAGCTTGAAAATATTTGTTTAAAAATAAATAAGTATTGTTAGTAGAGATAATAATTATTGTTAGTAGGGACAATCCTATTGTGGTCATGTTTTTAAAAAAGAATCCTTGACTTTTAGAGACAGGTGTTGAAGTATTATGAATGTAGTGACTGGTTTCTGTGATTCACTTAAAAAATTAATTTGAGGGGAGGAGGGCGGGGGGTGGGGGTGAATGGGTGACGGGCACGGAGGGGGACACTTGACGGGATGAGCACTGGGTGTTATTCTGTATGTTGGTAAATTGAACACCAATAAAAATTAATTTATAAAAAAAATTAATTTGAGAGTGGATGGATATTGGGAACAAATATAAAGAAACAGATTGGCCTCAAATTGCTGACTGTTGAAGTAGGAAGCAGGTACATGGATGGGAACTCATTATACTATTCCCTCTTTTTATGTGTATGTTTGAAAATTCAAGAAAAAGTAAATTAAATAAAAAAGAAAAACAAAAACCCTAAAATTAAAATGCAAACAGAAGAAAATGAACCTAACTGCATATTAAATCAGTAACAAACATGCAAAGAAATGAAGCAATTTAAGTAACTTTGAATCATGGTACAGAAAGCATATAATACTGGGGCTGAAACTCCTCTCCCAGCTCCTGCCCCTCCTCAGAGAACCACCACAGTGTACTAAAGAAGTGCATAGAGGGCTCCAGAGTAGTGAGCAAAGGGCAGCTGAGTGGGTCAAGGTGGCAGGAAGTGTCCAGCGGTATGCTCTAGCTCACTGGAAATTAGAGGTTTTTAATTTGCAAAGGAATTTATTAAAGAATGGGTTGTCTGGGTGGCTCAGTTGGTTAAGTGTCGGATTCTTTATGTCAGCTCAGATCATGATCTCAGGGTTGTGAGATTAAGCCCCACATTGGGCTCAGCACTGGGCATGGAGCCTGGTTAAGATTCTCTCTCTCTCCCCCCTCCTTCTCCAAATAAAAAAGTACTTCTAGAAAAATTATAATGGAAGTTATTCTTCATCACAGGTGATTTTAACCCATTTGCAGTTACCGTTATTATTGATAGGCAATTATTTATTTATGCCTTTGTTTACTTTCTATTTACCTTTTTTCTGCACCTTTCATCTTTCCTGATCACTGTTGGATTTATTAAGTTTCTTTTTTTTTAAAGATTTTATTTATTTATTCATGAGAGACACAGAGAGAAAGAGAGAGAGGCAGACACAGGCAGAGGAAGAAGCAGGCTCCATGCAGGGAGCCAGACGTGGGACTCGATCCTGGGTCTCCAGGATCACGCCTTGGGCTGATGGCAGGTGCTAAATTGCCGAGCCACCTGGGCTGCCCTTAAGTTTTCATGATTCCTCTTTTCAGATACAGAAGTCACACATTCTATTTCTAGTTACCCTTAAAGATTTTTACATCTTAGAGGACCTAAAGGTTCTCCTTATCTTTTCCTAGAACATGAAGACTCTTAAACTCAGACTTTCCTTTTCCACTTTTTCTGTTTTCTTCATTAGATTTTTTTTATATTTGACTCTTAAAAATTAGCATGTGTGATATAACCAGAAAAATGAACAGTTTCATTGGGGGAGAAATGCCAATCCACCATCTATGTATAAATAAAGGAGAGAGAAGGCATTTTTGAGTGTTCTCTTTATAGAATGAACAAAGGAAAATCTTAAGGTATGACAAACTCTTAGAGGTGGGAAAAATCAAGGGATTTCTGAACTAAATTGTGTGTGGCTGTTTCAGCCAGAGAGCACAAGTAGACTAGGGAGTTCTGGGAATCTGAGATGTTTGGATAGATCCAAGCATAGTTTTGGTCTTCTTGCCAAAATCTTGTACAGCCTAAGACAATGAGATCAGCGACAAACGCTTTCCAGCAAGCCATTTATATTTGCCCAGTATTGGAAATAATTTTATCTTCTACTGTATTGTTACTTCCATGTAAAAGAGGGAGCAAAGTAATTTATGTAACCCAGATTATGGTACCCTGATATATTACAATCAAAACTCCCTTGTTTTATTCTCTTATTTCCAGAACAGATCATTGCACACTTCTTGCCACCTTGACTTACACAACTGCTCTTTCAAGGGGCCTCACATCATGCTGGCAACAGTAGAGCTCCCTGCTTCCTCCCTCCCCGTAGCCTTAAGTAGTTTAAATTTCTCAGATGAAAGGCACAGGCTTGGGGAAGGGAGATAGGATGGAATGGTAAAACTAAGTAGGGCAAAATGAGGATTTCATATAGAAAACGAGAAAATAGTTGAGCCAAGAAAAAGGCAAGTCCTGTGACTATAAATACCTAAAGAATTTCCTGCATAGCTGTCAAACTGATGCTGAAGACAATTCCAAAAGAAATAAGTTCCAAATTTTTTAGAACTGCAAGAGTGAAATCAGCATGTGGCCTCTTGAAATACTCAGGGTGTTGAAGAAAGAAGATATTCAAGGACACTTGCTAAAGATGGCAAAGCAGACTTTATTCAGGACCACTGCAATAGGTATAAGGACCACTGTAATGGGATTTTATTTTTTAAGAGATTTTATTTATTTATTCATGAGAGACAGAGAGGCAGAGGCAGAGACAGAGGGAGAGGAGGAAGCAGGTTCCTCACGGAGCAGGGAGCCCGATGTGGGATTCGATCCCAAGACCCCAGGATCACACCCTGAGCAAAAGGCAGATGCTTGACCAACTGAGCCACCCAGGTGCCCCTGGAATGGAATTCTAGTCGGGTGGAGAGATTGGGCTCAACTGTGAATACAATTATGGGCAAATGGGAATTTACGACAAAGGAGTAGAGGCGAGGGTGATCAATGGATGGAAAATTACTAAGAGAAAACATCAGAGGTAGGGAGGATTCCGGCTAAATCGATCTAACAGGAGTGGGTATGTATATATGTACGTATTTATTTATTAGAGAACACGTCTGCATGATATATATCTATATCTATCTATCTATCTATCGAGAGAGAGAGAGAGAGCACATGAGCAGGGGTAGAGAGAGAAGCAAACTCCTCACTGAGGATCCCTGAGTTGATCTCAGGACCCTGAGATCATGACCTGAGCCGAAGGCAGATATTTAACAGATATTAACTGACTGAGCCATCCAGGTGCCCCTTGACCTAACAGGAGTCTTGCTGAAGAAAGGCCAGGCGATCAAACATCACCTGATGGACTGTAAAGGGTAAGGAACCTGATCAGATATCTAGGGTAGGGAATTCTGGTTAAACTGACTTAGCAAGATTCTTGCTAAAACTAGATTTTACAAGGGAGTGCACAGAAGAGAAGGCCTAGAAAGTTCAGAAGCCTAACTAAAGTTGGGCCAAGCATAGAATTTTTGCCTCAGACAGGATTTAATTCAGTTCCTTGAGTTCCATTATGCTTCTTCCAAAAAGTACTTTCACTCATTTTTAATCATTACTCAACATTACTCTTCAAGAAAAAATGGCTAATGAAAGAAAAACATGCAACAGAGTTGTAACTCAGCTTAAACTTGAAAAGTCTTGATTTCCAAATTTAGGTTCAGGTTGTTTTGTCACCACTCAAGAAAAGGCATAAGGGTTTTTGACATTATCAAAGAATACTGCAGACAGCATTAAAAACTCTAGCTTAAATAATGGCTGGTTCATCCTTTTAAGGGAATAAGTGTAACTTGCATAATTCACATTCCAATGAAGTTGCTTAACAGAGAAACTTGCTCTTTTCAACTTGATTAATGCTGCCTATGCTGTCACAAGGACAATTCCAGACACCCCTAAGAGCTAAACCTTTATCAATTTCTTACAAGAAAACAAAAACATACCCAAAACCTCACTCCCCCAAAGTTGCAAAGTATCATGACACCCAACTCTACTAAAATCAAATACAGATGGTACCCCTGTTAAACACCACTTGAGCTAAGCTTACATTTTATGTAGATACACCAAAGAAACGAACAGGAATATCTGAAGTGCAAATGTTTTATTTACAAACTTATTTAAATACTTATTCTCCTCAACTGAATACTTATCGTAATCCAGAATACAACTGCTTTTCCCTCTCATTTGGTGTCTTAAGTTGTTTGTTTTGCTGTTTACATACATAGGAAAATATCTTTTAACAAGTTTTATAATTGAAGAGGGGACTGAGATGCTGTAACACTGCCTTGCCCATTAAAAGTGCCAGCAAATGGATAGAGTTACTGAAATTAATATTTCATATTAAACCACATTATGTCACTAGCATGTTGTTAGGATTGGAAGAAAAAAACATGTACTTCACCCGATTGATATAATTTAATGTAATACATAAACATTTTATACTCACACTTGTATAATTCCATAATGTTATAAAAATAAAAGAGATGATAAATGCAGTTTTCACAGATTCCTTGATGCTTACTAAGCTCTATGCTCTATTATTTACAAATAGATGTTTTCTGTGATCTTTTTCTGTAAAAACCTTATTATCACTTCCAGAACATGATTGACATTATTTTCTATGGAAATCTAGTCTTCCAACTCCATTCAAATTGGTGGATTTCTCACCATGAAATCTGTTTAATAAGACTTAATCTAATATTTAAGGCTTTATCATATTTACAACATAAATATCATGTATGAATTTTCTGATGTACAATAAGATTTGACTTCTGGGAAAATGCTTTCCCACATCTATTACATTCGTAGGGCTTTTCTCCTGTATGAGTTATCTGATGTCTAAGGAGATGTGACTTCTTGATGAAGGCTTTTCCACATTCAATACACCCATATGGTTTCTCTCCTGTATGAATTCTTTGATGTGTAACAAGCACAGATGTGTTACCAAAGGCTTTGCCACATACAATACATCGGTAGGGTTTCTCTCCTGTGTGAAATCTAGAATGTTTATAAAGGGATGAGCTATACCTGAAGGTTTTCCCACATTCCTTACATTTAAATGAGTTCTCAAGTGTATGAGATTTCACATGTTGGGTAAAGGAGGAGTTCCAGGTGAATGACTTCCCGCACTCATGGCATTCATAAGGTTTCTCTCCAGTGTGAAGTCTCTGGTGGACCACCAGTTGTGCTTTATGCGTAAACGCTTTCCCACAATCGTTGCACACAAAGGGTCTCTCTCCATTATGGATTTTCTGATGAGTTGCAAGGTGAGCCTTCCTGCTATAGGCTTTCCCACAGTCACTGCATTCAAAGGGTTTTTTTCTTGTATGATTTTTTTCATGTCTAATGAAATGAAACTTCTTTTTGAAGGCTTTCCCACATTCGGTGCATTCATATGAGTTTTCTCCAGTATAACATCCATTATAATTAAGCAAGTCTAAAGTAGGTTGCAAACTCTTCCCATATGACTTACATTTATATGATTTTTTCCTTGTAGGATTAAGACTTGTGCTCATGTTATAATCATGGAGCCCTTCCATAGTCAGAATTTTATTGAATGTGAACAAAACTGAATTCAAAAAATTGTCTTTCTTTTCCTGGTGCTTTTCTGATTCATCAACAAGCAGGTAATCAGCTTCTAAAAGGGAGTACAACAAAACATGCCTAGTTACTTTTTTCTATAACAATCATAGAAACAAACATTATTTCAAATCTAGTATCTGATTCTGAAACAAACCCTGTATTTGCTTTGCTCCTGAGCTTTAAGAATAAAACTGCCAAAGAGGAAGTAGGATCAGATGATAGACAATAATGAGAATAGATGACCTATGGAAAGATAATGAAATAGACACAAGTCACAGTGAATAGGGCACAAGCATCGATACACAGTTATCTCACAGGAAGAGATAGATCTCCCACTGTGGAGATCTGACCAATGGATGAGGTGACGAGGAAGGAGAGACTAGGGAGCTAAGTGAAAATAGCAGAGGAAAAATTAGATCTGGAGATGGCAGATCTAGAGTCCTCACCACTTCAGTCCTAGATTACCCTGGTGGGACAGCTCCCCATGTCCCTCATTCATCTTTTTTTCCTCTTAATCACCTGGCACAATGGCAGTTACCTTCAGGAACATTCTAACATCTCTAGTCCTCTAACTCCAACCAAATCACAGACATGCCTTCAGACAAGGCTCCAACTCTCCAACAGCTGAGATTCAGGTCATGATCTCAGGGTCCTGAGATAGAGCCCTGCATGAGGCTCTGCATCTGCATGGGGATTGGATTCTCTCTGTCCCTACCCCCTGCCACAATTTCTCTTTCTCTCTCAAATAAATAAATAAATCTTTAAAAAAAGACCAGACCTAAATTCCTTTTGCATCTATGATCAGTTATTTCTATCACTTGACATGACTTTGTCCTGAAAATCACCTACTTTTTATAACCTCTTTCAATCTCCCAGATAGAACAGTCTCCAGAACCCTGCTTTGCCCATGCCACCACATGCTTCAAATCAACATTTCCCATTTTGTTCTCCACACTTAATGACTTCTATTAACTCTGGAGACCTGAAACACAAAACTTCTAGTTTTTAGCAACTTTGCCTTTATATGTTTTGTAGTCAAGAAGGTCAGTTCTGATTGTTACCATGATGCCGCAACTTGTGCAATGTAACATCATCACGGCCAAACTCAAATCCCTACAATGCTAAGTCCACTAATATAGTAACATTAGGGAAATTGGGGAGAAGAGGGTTTTTCACTATTTCTGAGATCAGATTCCCTTCCATTAAGGGGGAATATTCGTGTAACACTTGAGACTCTTAGCTTATTCCTTATTTCTCAAATCCATACAACATAACTACCTTACAAGAACCAGATGTCTGGAAAAGATCTGTGAACACACCAAGGAAGGAAGAAGAATGGGGATTTCACAAATTAAAAGAACAAAGCAGGGATCCCTGGGTGGCGCAGCGGTTTGGCGCCTGCCTTTGGCCCAGGGCGCGATCCTGGAGACCCGGGATCGAATCCCACGTCGGGCTCCCGGTGCATGGAGCCTGCTTCTCCCTCTGCCTGTGTCTCTGCCTCTCTCTCTCTCTCTCTCTCTCTGTGTGACTATCATAAATAAAAAAAAAAAAAAAAAAAAAGAACAAAGCAAGGACCTACATGGAACAGGAGGTGCAGGGAGCCAGGGCACAGGGGAGAGGGATATCCCTCCATACAAGAGCTGGCAAAGAGAAAGAGCAGCTAGCTATGTGGGCAGAGTGACAGCGAAGGTGTCATCTGAGGATCTGATGATATTATGTCAAGTGCACCCAGTCACTTCCAAAGGTGTGGGGCTTTTAAGAGGTGCTTCCTGAAAGAGTTGCTTTAAAGGTACCTTGTCCCTCACACTGATCAACTGGAATCTCAATTCCAAGGATTCTCATCTGCCTGGTTTTCTTTCACTCACCTGGATAGTGCCAACGTGGCTTCTCTCCCTCTGCCATCCATGGCTCTTGTCCTTGCACTGCCTTAAAGATCACTTTTGTTTTGGTAACTGGGTCCCCTGTTCATGAGAAACAACACAGAACTGGAGACAAAGTGCTAGAGACAAACGACTACCTCACAATTCAGGTCTGCCTCCTTGAGTCTCAGGGCCTGGAAAGAATGACAAACAGACTTTAGAACAGAAAAGACCTCCATTTGGGAGGTAGAAGCATAAACACACTATCTGTTTATGCATGATCTCAAAGGGGATTAAGAATCTGTGACCACTAACATTCAGGGCTGAATTTAGGAATGCTTCAGAATGTCCACAGCTTCCACAAATCCTAAAGGAAGGGCACTTATGAGTATATTCTTAGTTACACTAAAGAGTTACCACCCACTGTCCTTACCCACTGAGATGAGGTTTCTAAAGTTCTCCAGCATCACATCCCAATACAAGGTTCTCTGATCACAGTCAAGCAGCTGCCATTCGTCTGGGGTGAATTCCACAGCCACATCCTGGAATGTCACTGATCCCTGTAACAGCATATTGATCTTCAAACTACAGTGTGCATAATTCGGGGACTTGCAAGAGAATCATGGCAGCCTCTTATTATCATATTTATTGTTGAGTTTTTAAAAAGTTATATATGATAAGTTTTATATGCTTGACTCAGAAATAGACTTTGTGATAGAAACAAAAATGACAAAAAAAAAAGAAAGAAACAAAAATGACATTAAAAATATTCACTAGTGTCAGGACAATTCAACTGGGTAAAGAATAGTCTCTTTTTAAAAAAAAAAAAAAAGATTTTATTTATTCATTCACGAGAGACAGAGAGAAAGTGAGAGATAGAGGGAGGCAGAGACACAGGCAGAGGGAGAAGCAGGCTCCATACAGGGAGCCTGATGTGGGACTCGATCCCGGTACTCCAGGATCATGCCCTGCACTGAAGGCAGGCGCTAAACCACTGAGCCACCCAGAGATCCCCAAGAATAGTCTTTTTAACAAATGGTGTTGGGTCAGCTAAGTAGCCACATGCAAAAGAATGAAACTGGATCCTCTTCACACATACAAACACCTCATATTATATGTGAAAATAAACTGAAGGTGGATCAGAGACCTATATGCAAGAGCTAAAACTATAAAATTATTCGAAGAATACACAGGAGTACATCTTTCTGATCTTGGATTAGGCAGTGGTTTCTTAGACATGACAGGAAGTATAAGTGACTAAAGAAAAAACAGATAAAATGGAAATCATCAAATTTAAACTTTGTGCTTCAAAGGACATCATCAAGAAAGTGAAAAGACAACCCACAGAATGGGATAAAATATGTTCACATCATAAACCATGAGAGGAGACTTGTATCTAGAATATTTAAAAAAAATTCTTTTTTTTAACTAACTTGAATTTATTTTTTTAATTTTTTTATTTTTTTTAAATTTTTTTTATTGGATTTCAATTTGCCAACATATAGCATAACACCCAGTGCTCATCCCATCAAGTGCCCCCCAGTCACCTCCACCCCCTTCCCACCTCCCTTTCCACCACCCCTTGTTCGTTTCCCAGAGGTAGTTAGGAGTCTCTCATGTTCTGTCTCCCTTTCTGATATTTCCCACTCATTAAAAAAAAAAAAATTCTTACAACATAACAATATAAAGATAACTCAACTTAAAAATGGGCAAAATATTTGAACAGACTTTCTCCAAAGACACACATGGTCCATAAGCACGTATAAAGATGCTCAACATTATTAGTAAACACAAATCAAAACTACAATGAGATATCACTTCACACCCACTAGGATGGTTAAAATCAAAGATGGACGATGACATGTGGTGATAAGGATGTGGAGAAACTGGAACTCTCATACATTGGTAATGGGGTTGTAAAATGGTGCAACTATGGAATACGGTTTTAGAGTTGTTCAAAATGTAAACTACTGAGCTACCATATGACCCAGAATTCCTCCTAAGTATACACCTAAGAAAGCTGAAAATATATGTCCACATAAAAACTTGTACACAAATGTTCACAGAGAAATATTCATAACAGCCAAAAGTGAAAACAATATGAGTATCCATAACTGATGAATAGATGGTAAACCAAATGAGGTATATCCATATAATGCAATATCATTTGGGATACATATACATCGATGACCCTTGAAAATATTGTGCTAGGTTAAAGAAGATGGTCAAAAAAGATCACATGTTGGGACACCTGGGTGATCTCTGCCTTTGGCTCAGGGCGTGATCCCGGAGTTCCAGGATCAAGCCCCACATCAGACTTCCTGCATGGAGCCTGCTTCTCCCTCTGCCTATGTCTCTGCGTCTCTCTCTCTCTCTGTCTCTCATGAATAAATAAAATCTTTAAAAATATCTAATTTATATAAAAAAAGATCACATATTATATTGTCCTAGTTACATTAAATGTTCAGAAAAGGCAAATCCATAGAAATAGAAAACAAACTAGTGCTGAGAGATGAAAGAAACAAGGAATGACTGCTAGTATGGCGTTTCTTTTGAGGGTAATGAAAATATTCTAAAGTTAGATGGTAGAGATGGTTTTACAATTTGTGAGTAGACTAAAAACCACTGAGCTGTATATACTTTAATGGGTCAGTCTGTACTATTTTAATTATGTCTCACTAAAATTATTTAAAATATTACTTATTTGTCCTTCATTCATTTACTCATAAAATGTTTAATAAGGACTTATCAGACATTGCACTGGTGATACAAAAAAAAAGAAAGGTATTACTGGTCTCAGAGATCTTACAATCTGTAAAACACTACAAAGTAAATATGTAAGTTAGAAGGGCTATAAGGTTAACATGTCAGACTCATATGACCATAACAAAATAGAAAATGGCTTTTTTTAACATGATAAAAATATATCCTCTCAACCATAAAGCCAAAATCATATTTAACTAACTTAAGCTGAAATTAAAAAGGCATGTAACTACATGTCTATCATGGAGATAGTTAAAACCATATAGAACAGGGGTCAGCAAACTACAATCCATGCACTGACCTGCTGTTTTTGTACATAAAATGTTACTGGAACATTTACACCCATTCATTTACTTCAACTCCAAAGTCAGAGTTGCATAGTTGCCACAGAGGCAGTATGGCCTTCAAGCCTAAAATATTTACTATCTGGCCCTTTAAAAAGTTAGAAGACTAGTTAGGGTTTGTCCTATGAATGCATAGATAGTTCAGTATTAAGAAATGTATTAGAAATTCTCTAAAATTGCTATATTAAAGAAGACAAAAATATATTATTTTATCAATAGGCATTTTGAAACATTTATGAGGCAAAAAGTTCCCAATTTATGAAAACAATCTTAAGAAGCAAAAGTCTTTAACTTGATTAAAAACAACAACAACAAAAAAAAAACAAAACAAAACCCAACTATCTACCGAAATACAAGAGGAAACAATGAAACACTGGAACTATTCCCATTAAAATTGGAACAAAAAAGATATTGGCTAGTAATTACACCTGAAAATTATAGTTCCTAGAAGTCCTGTCCATTGCAATAAGACAAGATAAAAAATTGAAGACATATATATTGAGCAGTAAGAAACAAAACTCCATTTGAAGAGTATATGACTGTCTATCTAGAAAATCTAAGAACCAATTAAAAACATCTTGGACTTAATAAGAGTTCTGTAAGTTGACAAAAAATCAAATAGATAAATACATATTTTCCTATACACCAAAATAGCCGATTAGAAAATATAATGAAAAAAGATTCATCCCATTCTCAACAGCGACTTAAACCGAAAGTAAATTTTACAAGAAATGTACAGAAATTATAATAATAAACCTATAAAAATGTAAAGAAGGGCTTGTATGAAAGATGGAAGATTTTCAATACATTATTGAAAACTCATGAATTCTCTAAAAATTAATGTAAAAGTATACTGCAATCACAATTATAACACCTAATATACCCCATTTATAGAGACTGACAAGCTGATTCTAAAATTCACACGGAAGACAAGATCTCGAGCATACCAGGAGATGCTGGAAAAGGTACAAAGTTTACATATGGGTCCAGAAGAATATAAGAAAGGCTATGTACTTGAACTTACAAATTAAGTTCAAATAATGCTGCTTGTTGGCACTATGTTCTCTGCTTACTCTGGGAAACACTTTAAGGAAGTCAAAGGAAATCTGATGTTAAATTTATCACAGGGTTGTTGCTGTGAATGTTATTTTTAATATTATCTCTATGAACACCCATTTTAAGATATATTTTTCAAAGAATTGAATCAGGAATATCTTTACTTATCTGAGGAATTGTTTTTGCTTCATCTTCACAGATAATACCAATACTTTGAAGTGGCTATCAATTTCCTGTGATTGCTATAAAGACTGGGTCCACATATGCAACTCAAATCTATTCCAACTATGTGCAGCCCCTGTGACCTGGATATCAACTTATCAACTTTCCAAATTTTCTAATGGACATGATCTATTCAATCCACATTTTCTCCTGTCTTTACATTTCCTTTTTATATAGATTTTTGTGGGATTTAAATGACTAAATAAATGGATACCTTACCTGGAAGCTGATCATTTTCTGCAGCTCTTACACAGAAATCTATGAAAGTAAAAATGGGAAAAAGAATAGAAAGGCATGAAAAACTAGAAAGAATGTAGGAAACAAGCACTATCAGAAAAGAAGGACTCACATTGCAGTTTCAGTAAATGCCACCTAGTGGGAGAATGAGGATTCTAGGCGATGTCAGAAAAGTCCATATTTTATAAGCACCAAATTTGACTGGTGATTCTGTTATGAATATATTAAGGTAGGATAAGTGTAGTACATTTCAGTCCTGCTGATCTAACAGCGAGCAGTTAATCTCTGAACCAGGGACATTTTTTTCCTCCCAAAAATTTATCCTAAGAAAATAATAACAAATGAGTTAAAAGACTAACTAAAAGCCTGGTCTCTGAAACTCAGTAGTTCTGGAAATCTCTGCTCTGAAGCTGGGATAAGAAAGCTCAAGTTAGGTTGGGTTTTCTTGAGAAGGCTGGACCAGGATTTTTTTTTAAGCTGGAGCATGTTCAGTTTAAACTCTAAACCTGTCCCCTCCCTGGAAATTCACCGTCTCCTAAGAGAGCAGTATTGGTTTTTAGAAATTCCAACCAGTAAAACTGGGGCATAGAAAGACTAAAATATGCAAAAGGGACTCCCAACTTTATTTACAGTGTTCACTGGAAGATCTGCAGATTCAAAGAGACTCTTAAAAAAAGAAAAAAGACTACAAATCCAAATTTACTTAGCATTCATTGCTCAAATATTTCAGAAGGAGAATAAACTCAACTCTTTTTGCAGGGTGCTATTTTGCAAAAAAGAATAAATTTGGAGCAAAGCATAAGGAATACAGTCAATGATACTGTAATAGTGAAATAAGGGGGGGTACAGATGGTAAGTACACTTGTGGTGAACATAGCATAATGTATAAACTTGTCAAATCAGGGGATCCCTGGGTGGCGCAGCGGTTTGGCACCTGCCTTTGGCCCAGGGCGCGATCCTGGAGACCCGGGATCGAATCCCATGTCGGGCTCCCGGTGCATGGAGCCTGCTTCTCCCTCTGCCTGTGTCTCTGCCTCTCTCTCTCTCTCTCTCTCTCTGTGTGACTATCATAAATAAATAAAAATAAAAAAAAAACTTGTCAAATCAGTAAGTTGTACACCTGAAACTAATGTACCATTGTGTGTTAACTATGCTCAAAAAAAAAAAAATCTGGTGAGAACTCATCTGGGTCTGAATCTCAGCTCTTCCATTTACTAAGCCTTCAGTATAAAGCAAGTACTTTAAGCTCTCTCAGCTTCAGTTAATTCATATGCAAAATAGAGAGAACACTTCAGATTATTGTTGTGAAGATACACAAATAGCAGTTTCACTAGAAAAGCTTTCTTCCTAGATCCCTTTGAATGGTTTAATACTACCTTTTGCAAGCTCTGGTAGGGCCAACGATGTTCTTGCAACCAGAAAAGGTAACAACAGCCTGATGCACAGGTTCCTACACAGTGACCTCTACCCACAGGAGCAGGAACGCAAACTGAGTCTGTCCCAGCCCGCCCGGAATCTGGGAATCCAATGAGTGGCAGTCAGACCCTCCTCTTGCTTTCTCTGAAGTACTCCAGAATTGCACAGGACCCACACGCCCAAACACCAAATCGCCGCACGTGGGGGTTGAGAAGTTTTGTCTTCGGCTGGGTAAGCCAATAAACCGGTCTCTGTCTTTCTCCCCGCCCTTCCCGTCCGTCCCCAGGCTTCGCAGAGTCATACCTGCCAGCCTTTCACCGCCAGGCTCCCAGCTTGGCTTCTAAGAGATCAGGTTTACAGACATCTCCTAGAGACTCGCGGCTAGAGCCGCACGCTCCCTTCACTCCGTGCAGCTCGGAAGGTTACGGAATACCGGCTGCCGCCCCACTGCGCATGCGCGGAAGTAAGTGACGCCCAGGTTCCCAGGTCCCTCCGCGGTGCAGGCTAGTCATAGAGGACTACATTTCCCATAAGGCCTGTGAGCTCGTTTCCGGAATGCGTCAGAGCATCTGCCTCTTAGGGAGGAGATTCCTGGGTTGGTATCTCTGGGGCTTCCCTGAGAACCATGCTTATTTGTAAAAGGGAGGTGTATATAGGATTTTAGTTTAAAAATTTAAAAGACATCAGAATTTTTAAAAACAAGAAAATCTAAATCAATGGTGTAAAATAATAATCTACCCTTAGTTCAGTTTCTTCTAGCAATGCTCCAGTTTAGGTCCCAACGAAGGAGATAAAGAGGACCCAAGAAAGATGACTGAGAGAGGATAATGTGTGAGACAGACTTAAAAGTAGAAGAGTTTGGATATGCAAAATCGAGGGAAGAAAATGTTTCAAGTTGTGGAGAGTGATCCACTGGGTTAAATGCTATTGATGAATCAAGTAGGATGATAACTAAGACTTGACCATTGGGTTTAGCATGGTGGAGACTGTTAAAACATGCCGTTTTGGTGTAGTGGTAGAAGTTTGATTAAATCTGATAAGGATTTTATAAGAGTTGGATAAAAGAATGGGAGAAAGTGTACAAAGCAAATATAGAAAGTACTTGTAAGATGTTTGGCTTTATTTTTTTTTAATTTTTTAATTTTAGATGTTTGGCTTTTTAAAGATAGCTGTCGTTGCATATGGATTTTGGGTCCAGAATTTTTTTTTAAGCTGGAAGAAATTATATTATGTATGCTAACTGAAATGATAGAGGAGGAAATTGACAATACAGGAGACATGAGACGATTGCAGGAAGAAAGTCCTTCAGGAGAAAGGGGGTGGAATCCAGTACACAACAGAAGGATAAGTTGTAAGTATGGACCACTCATGGATTGAAATAAAAAGAGAGGCAGAATTTATAGGTTACAGACACAGAGAGGCATACAGATTTGTTAATAGGAGAATGAGGATGTCCTTTTCTGAGTGCTTCTGTTTTCTTAGTGAAATAGGAAGCTGAAAAATGAAGATAGGGAAGGTATTGGACGTTTGAGAAAAGAAATACTCTATTACATTGATTCTAATACACTTTTCATGTTTTAACATATGTGAAATTGCTGTCTTACAAATGTTGCCATGCCATAGTTTAACTGGAGCATTTTTTTTCTTTTTTAGAGTATATGAAATATTTATGTACCTTATAATCAATGGCATCTGAGATTCTAATGTTAGTTATTTAGGAATGTGGGAGCATGAGTAGATTAAGGAAATATAGGGGATCCCTGGGTGGCTCAGCGGTTTAGCGCCTGCCTTTGGCCCAGGGCTCGATCCTGGAGTCCCGGGATGGAGTCCCGTGTTGGGCTCCGGGCATGGAGCCTGCTTCTCCCTCCTCCTGTGTCTCTGCCTCTCTCTCTCTCTATGTCTATAATCAATCAATCAATCAATCAATCTTTAAAAAAAAATAAGGAAATATAGTACTGTTGCTTGGTAGCAGTAACAGCCCACTTGATATAGTTAGCCATTGACTTGCATTTTCAGTGTCATAAAAACATATTTTTATATATCATTTTTTAAAAAAACATCTTTGCTTGGGGCGCCTGGGTGGCTCAGTCAGTTAAGCATCTGGCTCTTAATCTCTTCTCAGGGGGATTCCTGGGTGGCGCAGCGGTTTGGCGCCTGCCTTTGGCCCAGGGCGCGATCCTGGAGACCCAGGATCGAATCCCACATCGGGCTTCCGGTGCATGGAGCCTGCTTCTCTCTCTGCCCCTCTCTCTCTCTCTCTGTGACTATCATAAATAAATAAAAATTAAAAAAATTTAATCTCTTCTCAGGTCTCGATGTCAGGGTCATGAGTTCAAGCCCTGTGCTGGGCGAGCATGAAGTCTACTTAAAAAAAAAAAAAATCCGTTTTTGATCTGTAGCCCACTTGAGCAATTGCACCATTTCCTAACTTTCCTTCATAGAAAAATTTTCCTAAGGAGTTGCTTCTTGTTGTTCACATTTTTTCCCAATTCTCTCAGCAGTTCACTCTAATGGCTTCTTGACTCTCCTCTCCTGAAACTGATCTTGTAAAGTTACCAATGAAATTCCAATTCTGTCCTCATATTAGACTTCAACAGCATTCAACACTATTAAAACACTTCCTTATCTTGGTTTCTATAACATGTCAAAAAAGCTAGTTTCTCTCATTTCACTAAGAATACTTCTGTATTTCCTGTACTAAAACTCTTCCTTTGTTCCTCCTCCAAATGTTTGAATACTCAAGGGTTTGACCTTGGGACTTTTTCTGAAATTTTCCCCTAAATGATCTCATTTGATCCCATGATCTTTAACGCCATTTATGTAATGATGACTGAAAAATCTGTATTCTCCAGCTTTCATTTCTCCCCTGAATAGCAGACCCCTAATTCCTTATGCCTACCTGAAACTTCCCCTTAAATATCTAAGAGTCACCTCTAACTTCACATCTCCAAACCAACTGATTCCTGCTCCCTCCATCTATCCCCCACTCTAGCACTTCTAGTTCAATACATATACCATCACCACTTCATTATTTAAGTAAAAATTTAGGAGCCATCCTTGAGTTCTCTTAATTCTTTTTCCTTTCTTTCTTTCATTGTATATATGTTCTAGGAAAGCATATATTTTTGTTTTGCGATATTGTGACTTATAAGAAGAAATATATATTCAATTTTCATCCTTGTTTCTGATGCAGAGCTCCTAAAATTCTTGGAATTTCCTAAGTGATAATGGTGTCTTTTCTTGTATTAATGAAGTGACTTTTGGACTGTACCTAAGGATGGGTGGCTGGCTGGCTGCCAGGAGAACCAACCATATGATTAGAGGGTGGGAGGTCAGTTCCAACTCCCTGACTCCTGGGGAGGGGAATGAGGCTGGTGGTTGAATTAACTGCCAAAGACCAATAACTTAATCAATCATGCCTATGTAATGAAGCCTCAAGAGACTTTCTGGGTTGGTGAACACATGGGGGACAGAGAGAGTAATGACCCAGAAAGGTCATGGAAGCTCGGCACACTTTCCCCATACTTTGCCCTGTGCATCTCTTCCATGGACTCTTCCTGAGTTATATATCCTTTTCTAATAAACTGTAATCTAGAGAATAAAGTGTTTCTCCAAGTTCTATAAGCTACCTAGCAAATTGGTCAAACCCAAGGAGGAGTTGTTGGAAGCTCTAATATATAGCCAGTGGGTTAAAAGCATAGGTGAAAATCTGGACTTGTGACTGGCATCTGAGGTTGGGAGAGAGAGCCAGACTTGTAAGACTGATTCCTTAATCTGTGGGATCTGACACTATCACCAGGTGGTGTCAGAAAATTGTTTGGTGGTGGGGAAAAACCCACAGATTGGAATTGGTATAAGTAGAATTTTAGTTTTGTTCATGACTGTATCTCCAGAACCTGGAACATAATAGGTGCCAAATAAATATTTGCAATTCCAAATAAATGTGTAATTGTCTATAGTTTTATTTCCATAAATGTGTCATGGAATTTGTCATTTGTTTCCCATATCTATGGGTCTGTTTCTGTTTTATTTGTTCATTTGTTTTGTTTTTCAGATTCCATATGTAAGTGAAATCATACGGTATTTATCTTTCTCTGATTTCAGTTAGCATAATATTGTCTAGGTCCATTCACGTTGTCACAAATGGCAAGATTCCATTCTTTTTTATGACTAATATTCCATTTTCCATTTTGTGTGAGTGTATTTGTGTGTATGTCTGTACACACACACATTTTCTTTATCCCATTCATTTGTTGATGGCCACTTAGATTGCTACTGTATTCGACTATTGTAAATAATGCTGCAATGAATGTAAGAGTGCATGTATCTCTTCAAATTGGTGTTTCTGTTTTGGTTTTTGAGTTTTGTTTTGGATAAACACCCAGATATGGTATTGCTGGATCACATGGTAGTTCTAGTCTTAATTTTTGGGAGGAATCTCCATACTGTTTTCTGTTGTGGCTGCATCACTTTACATTCCCACCAACGGTGTATAAAGGTTACCTTTTCTCTGCATCCTTGCCAACACATTATTTCTTCTTTAAACATTTTTTTAAATAATATCCAATCCAACAGGTGTGAGGTGATCTCATTGTGGGTTTTTTTTTTTTCATTGTGGTTTTGATTTGCATTTACCTGATGATTAGTGATGTTGAGGATCTATTCATGTACTTGTTGACCTGAGTTTGGAAGTATTCCTTCCTCTTTAATTTTTTGGAATATCTTGAAAAGAAGAAGTACTAACTTGTCTTTAAATGATAGATTTCGGGATCCCTGGGTGGCGCAGCGGTTTGGCGCCTGCCTTTGGCCCAGGGCGCGATCCTGGAGACCCGGGATCGAATCCCACATCGGGCTCCCTGCATGGAGCCTGCTTCTCCCTCTGCCTGTGTCTCTGCCTCTCTCTCTCTCTCTGTGACTATCATAAATAAAAATTTAAAAAAAATTAAAAAAAATAAATGATAGATTTCACCTATGAAGCTATCTGATCGTAGACTTTTTTTGTGTGGAGGGGTTAAAAATACCGATTCAATTTCATCACTTGTATTAGTCTATTCACATTTTCTATTTCTTCATCAATCAGTTTTAGAAAGCTGTGTGTTCTTAGGAACTTATCCAGTTCTTCTAGGTTTTCCAATTTGTTGGCATATAATTGTTCTTGGTAGTCTCTTATGATCCTTTATATTTCTGTACTGTCAGTTGTAATTTCTTTTTCATTTCTGGTTTTACTTGGGTCCTCTTTTTTTTTTTTTTTCTTGATGAGTCTGCCTAGAGGT